CCCCCTGGCCAGAAATAATGAGGGGCACCCCTCTCTTTTGTGAGAGAGAGTTCCCCAAAATCCCCTTTACCGCCAAGACAGACAGTCTTTCCTGGAGCGAAGTAATTTTTGATTGTTTACCTTTGTGCAGCGCTCTGTCTTTATTGTTGGGGCTGTTACTCAGATAAATCATGGGCTGATTGCGAAAGTAAGCTACAGTCGTAGCTATGCCAAGTTGGTGAAAAAGGCTCTGCCTGCCAGATAAAAGTGCTTACCGAGACAAACCCTGGAGGAGAAACTAAAACTCACTTCTCTAAAATGTGTGGACTGCACATCCACTGTGATGGGTCAGAATGCAACACTCAGGATGGAAATGTAACCCACATATGTGTATTCCATTGCTGCCGCTATGACAATTGTAATATCGGCATTCTGTGAGTTGATGCCGGCTGTCATTTGTTAGCGAAAATTTGTTTTACTGTTCCCACTTGTCGAATGTTTGTGTTCAACTTTAACTTGAAACAGATTGTGGAAATTCTCTGACCAATGATAAAGGTCTTTTGTGTTCTTTTTTTGTACGAAGATGCAAGAAAAATATTTTTTGTCTTTATCGTACTATTCAGAGGAGCTTTTTTGGGTCTGAAAACCCACGCTGGATTTCAATTAGTTGTTATTGTTGCAGTTGTTCTTTTAATCTGCCGTGCTTTCTGCCTCCATAACACAGTTATCTATGAGAACAAAAAATTTCCTGTAAGCGTTATGCGCATTAAAGTACCCCACACTTGAAAGAATTAGGCTACGTTCACACAGTACTGGACGAATTTTCGACAGGCCGAAAGTTTCGACCGGACACTCTTTACACGCGGAATCGTTCGAAAGTTTCGTTCTGTTCAGATGAGACTAATAACAGGATTGATTTTGCGACATTTTTGAGTGTTTTACTGTCTCCTCATGCGCAGAACGCTTCTTAACCCAGAGCAAGATGGCGTTCAGAGTTACTGCTGCTTCGACGTCTTCGATTTACAGATAGACGTGCGAAGTTTTAAATGTTGATTTTCTGACGTTATCAAAACACCAACACAACGTCGCTTACGTGCGTGGTAAGTCCGGCATGGTCTACACATTTACAAGATAATGTTATGCCAAAAAGTTGTAATATTACCGAGCACTGCAATCAATGAACCAACACGTTCCATTTCCGTATACAATTGTTATTTAGCCTAGTTACCACGTATCCATGCAGCCACGCCTTCGCTGTACAAAAATTTCGATGTTTAAGGTGTTCACATCGTGGCGGTAAAATTGTTGACTGCACCGGCTATAAATTCGTCCTCGATTTTGGTGTTCAAATTTTTGAACGCTTCGGCGTTCAAATTTTCGTACATTTGGCATGGTTCCATGAGTACGAAACGCCCAGACGCATGAATTTTCCACCGATTGAAAACTCGTCCGGTTTCGTTTGAACGTAGCCATAATCAACATTCTGAAAAATCCATTTCTGTGGCGGTTTTCCCCGAGATCAAGGTTTGTCCTCACAAAATCGACTTGCAGACTTTATAGACGGGCAGGCACATGTAACGAGCACGAGAGAGGATTTACTTCTTTCAAAATTTCCCCCTGTAATGTATCATCCTTCACAAATTGTTTGCATAGATTTTAGCTGTGATTTGTTGTGATTATTTGTTTCATCAGAGTTAGGCAAGGCCGATTCTCATCGTAACCTTCAGCTTTTTGTAACAATTGGGACCATTGAGAAGATCACGTGTACGAAAGCAAGAACGGACAAGTTAGTACTTTCGATGCAACGATCTTTTTCTTTTCAGTAAAAAAAAAGCTTTATCAGATATAACTTCATGGACACTTCAAAGTGAAAACAAAATACTGTCCAGTTCTACAAAAAAAATACATTTATTTTCAGTCCTGGTTACTGATCATTCAATAATTTAGCTTCACATGCACTGCTATCATATCAACTTCATATGTTCACGTCATCATACAAATATTCCTCTGGCCTGTCTCCCAAAAATATTTCGATATTTTCAATAATCAGCTTATAATTCACGTAACCTGCACTTGTGAATGCGTATTGACACTGCATCGATTGTAAAACCTTAAATTTACCTTTTTTTTCGCGGTAATGCTGTTCAGATGGTACGTCATCAACCATGCCAAGGGCGTATTTATGCCTAATATAATGCATGTTGAAGTACGAGTGCAAATTCCTCTTTGTAACAAAGAAAAGTTCGTAAAGAATGCTAACAAATTCCGCATTGCAATTTCTTTGGCAGTTTTTATGGTTTCACAGAAATTGCTAAAATCAGGAAAATCAAGAACTGCTAAAACAAGTAACATTGAGATTATAATCAATGCAATTTCAATTTCCATCAAATAAATTGATCATTCACCAAACTATATCAAAGTATCCTCCGTGACCTTTTAAACTTACAATGTCACGCGTTTCCTTCTGAAGAGTACTGCGTGACAACTAGATAATGGCTGTCATTGGTCACGAAATGCTGTTTTTGTATCTGCAAAGTGGATTTACAGAAGGTATCATCTCTTTTTCTAGTGATGACAGGCCGTACGAAATCACAAAAATTAGTTCTTAATTAAATTTTACAAGACACAATTTCTTTGAAATAGCTGTGTTAGGTTAACCGACATATAAGAGACGAACAACAAAAGGCCAAAAATATCTTTAAGTACAAAATACCGTTGGATCGAAAAAAGGCTTTGCTGATCGACGAATTACAAAATAACCACCAAAGGGAAAAATAACAAAAAAGAAAATACAAAATACAAAGATGACGATAAAGAAAACTCTAAATTCCTCTTTTACCTCTCAATGGCAGTTTGTTAGGTGTTCCAAAATCTAACCTTTCTGACGACTTGAAAGCAAAATCAAATCAGTTCAATACTTGAGATTAACTTCTCGCAACCCCACCCTCCCCCCAACTCCACTCTCACAGTTGAACTTTAAACATAGGGGTCCACTACCTCTCTACTTGCAGATCTGCTAAGGTCTCCTTCAAAGAAGCGCTAAATGCTAACATAGAGGCTATTTGTAATAGGGCGCAATGATTAGGCTATGCTATTTACATGCTTAACTTGTGTCTATCAAAGAAGCATTCTTAATGTAAATTTGGTTCTGAGGCTACGCTCAATTGTTACTCACAGGTCTTATTTCTGTACTTTAACAATTACTTTGTTGATACAATATATCCATTCATAACTTGTTTCTTAACTTCAAAGCCAATGACGGCTTTCTCTAAATTATATATTAGCGTATAATACCTTTTTGGTAGGGGTCCTTCGAAATGACACGAAGCAGTCTAATTGATTTGAGGTACCAACATGCACCCAATAATGACAGAACTTGGACATGAGTATTCTTAATGCGAAAAAAAATTTAAATTTAAAAGGAAATTCTAGCTCCAATCCAAAACCCCAATTCTGCTATTTAGTACTAACACAAACTTTACACCACCTTAAGAAAATCAAGGTTCAAATGATCAGGGATGGTCAGAGACTCTAACGACACAGCTGAAGGAGTGAAAGGCAACGTAAAGGGATACATGTACGCTATATCAGTCATCAGGTACATAGGATCTGACTTGTTATGGCCGCGCTCCACAACTGCACGAACCACAGACGAAGGTACTCTGGCTTCATACTCGTTGGCTGGTGTGTACATGGACAATATCTTCTGGACCTACGAAAAATGAAGTAATTATCACAATTAGTGGGAATCAATGAACACTGCAAAGAATTCTCCGCCTCTTTTGGTCTGAAATCATCTCCAACGATGAACTGCTTTGATGAACGAATACAGAACCAATCACCACGCAGGTCCAGAGAAAAAGATGGAGTTGTAGCAGCCATGTTCTTCGAATGCCATATCAGCCTTGCATGCCCACAGCCCCCTCCATGAACTCCCAACGGCAGGCAAAAGAGAGGCTTCAACAAGGAAACTTGGAGGAGAACCGTAAAAAGGGAAATGAGAGACAGAGGATGGGCATAAAGCAACTTGGGCGACTGGCAACGGAAAGAAATCAGTGGCATTCTCTAGACGATGCCTCATGTGCAAAGACGCACGAAGAGGACTAACTAACTAACCAACATGCATTGATTTGACTGAGCTTTCTAGCTTTTGATTTAGCATTTTAGATTAAAACGTGACTCTAAAATGACCTCAAGATGGTCTCCTGGGGATATTCGTCATCAATCTGAAGTGTTCTCCATACTTGCACTGCCCCTCAAGACCGTTAAACCAGGATTGATACCTGCAATAGGTTTCCAGCACAACCCGCTCTTGTTGTATCATGGTTGCCACAGCAATAAGTTTGGAAGTTCTCGAACTTTTCCATGACCTCAGGCAACCACGATACGGTTTCCAAAACAAGTCCGCGATTCATTTCACTTCTTAAGTCAAACACACGAATTCACAATAGTTTGAATTTGCGCCGTTTACTTAACAAAACGAACAAACAAACAAATTTCGTCCTCTCTATCTGTGGGCTTTGTTTCTTTCGTATTGTTGCGAGTTGTGTGACCAGTTTATTTTCCGATCTTTCATGATTTTCTGATGACGACTACAAATCCACCAGAAGCGGTTATCTTACCTATCAGCAGGTAAGTAGAGCAGTTATCTTACCTGTAAGGTATTAAGAGAACTACAGACTTCACAAATCGCGTCCACGTCTTCCAACGTTTTTTTGTTGACCTGAAGTAATTGTGTCGCTTGTGTGACATTCTCCAAAG